TATGTTTTTTTACTTTGTTTTTTATTTGTTAATTTAATTCATTTTTCTATTTTATACTTTAACTTGAATTAATTATTTAATTCATTACTTATTATTTTATATTTTTTCTTAATTTTTTCCTTCGAACTAACTAATTAACAATATTTTGTCTGTCTTCAAAATTTAAAAAGTGGCAATAAAATTGGTGACGAAGGTGCATCAGGCTTAGGTTCTGGTTTAGGAAAATGCACTAATCTCTCAAATTTGACACTTGATCTTTTGTATAAACAGTTTACTTGTTGATTGCAATTTTTTTAATATAAAAATGAATTTACAACAATTTAGCTAGCTAACTCTTTTAATTTATTTATTTATTAGCTTTATATTTGATTTATTTTTCTTTTTTATTCTGCTTATGTTTTTTTACTTTGTTTTTTATTTGTTAATTTAATTCATTTTTCTATTTTATACTTTAACTTGAATTAATTATTTAATTCATTACTTATTATTTTATATTTTTTCTTAATTTTTTCCTTCGAACTAACTAATTAACAATATTTTGTCTGTCTTCAAAATTTAAAAAGTGGCAATAAAATTGGTGACGAAGGTGCATCAGGCTTAGGTTCTGGTTTAGGAAAGTGCACTAATCTCTCAAATTTGACACTTTATCTTCGGTATAAACAGTTTACTTGTTGATTGCAATTTTTTTAATATAAAAATGAATTTAAAACAATTTAACTAGCTAACTCTTTCTCTTTTAATTTATTTATTTATTTATTAGCTTTATATTTGATTTCTTTTTCTTTTTTATTCTGCTTATGTTTTTTTACTTTGTTTTTTATTTGTTAACTTAATTCATTTTTCTATTTTCAACTTTAACTTGAATTAATTATTTAATTCATTACTTATTATTTTATATTTTTTCTTAATTTTTTCCTTCGAACTAACTAATTAACAATATTTTGTCTGTCTTCAAAATTTAAAAAGTGACAATAAAATTGGTGACGAAGGTGCATCAGGCTTAGGTTCTGGTTTAGGAAAGTGCACTAATCTCTCAAATTTGACACTTGATCTTTTGTATAAACAGTTTACTTGTTGATTGCAATTTTTTTAATATAAAAATGAATTTACAACAATTTAGCTAGCTAACTCTTTTAATTTATTTATTTATTAGCTTTATATTTGATTTCTTTTTCTTTTTTATTCTGCTTATGTTTTTTTACTTTGTTTTTTATTTGTTAATTTAATTTATTTTTCTATTTTATACTTTTACTTGAATTAATTATTTAATTCATTACTTATTATTTTATATTTTTTCTTAATTTTTTATTTCGAACTAACTAATTAACAATATTTTGTCTGTCTTCAAAATTTAAAAAGTGAAAATAAAATTGGTGACGAAGGTGCATCAGGCTTAGGTTCTGGTTTAGGAAAGTGCACTAATCTCTCAGATTTGACACTTGATCTTCGGTATAAATAGTTTACTTGTTGATTGCAATTTTTTTAATATAAAAATGAATTTACAACAATTTAGCTAGCTAACTCTTTTAATTAATTAATTAATTAATTTATTTATTAGCTTTATATTTGATTTCTTTTTATTTTTTTTGTTCTGTCTTTTTTATTTATTAGCTTAAAAGATATTATTTTATTTAAAAACTTTATTGTATTTATTTTTTCAAGTTATTTACACTAATTTATATTAAAAGGGGCAACTTAGTCAATAGTTTATAATAATTCTAAGCAAAGTGTCATAAATCAAATAGATTAGTTGTCTTAAAACTTTGGATTTTTTGATCATAAAGTTGTGAAAAAAGGAAGAATAAATAAATATAAATATATTTGAATAATATGACATAATATGCTTTAATATAATTTAATTTAAAATATAAATAGATTTATTACTTTTTATGGATGGGCTATATATATTATTATATGTATACAAAGTAATTATGTGCTTATTGTATTTAAATATATTTTCAATAATATTAAAAAGAAGCAAAAAAATATTTTTCAATAAAAGAAACCAAATATTGATATTTTTTTAATAATAAAATTTAGCTAACTCTTTTAATATATTTATTAGGTTTATATTTGATTTTTTTCTTTCTTTTTTATTGTGCTTATGTTATTTTTATTTATTTATTTGCTTTTTTGTTTGTTAATTTAACTCATTTTTTTATTTTAAACTTTTACTTTAAATATATTCATATTATTTCATATTTTTTCTTCATTTTTTTCTACTAACATCTCCTACAACATTATTAATGATGTCTTATTCTATTTTTTTGAAATCAGAATTGTCATATCCAACAATCCCAAAGTATGAGTGAAGCTTCTCTAGACTTTTTGTTCCCCTTTACCATAAAATTTTAATTAAATTTAATTATAATTTTTAAAAATTTACCTGCAAACTATTTCTTACAAAATAGCTTCTAAAATTTATTTTATCTTTTTATGATCTTTTAGCTCACCATTCTTGTAAAGATAAAAAAAAATAACGAGCGCTTTTGAAGGGTCTTAGCATTAATTAGGATGTCCTTAATGATAGGTGACCATAGTTTATCTTGGTTAGTTAATTAGCATTTAACAATAAGCCTTAAAAAAGGGTTTATCTCCATAAACAATATTAATTGAATGGTAAATTTTATCCATAAGTCCTGCTACATAAGTAGACTATTCTTGATTTAGTAAAAATATTAAAAGATTCGCTAAAAGAGCTAAGTATCATTCAGAAAAGCATGTATCCACATTATGGGAAAAACTAAGTAGATAATAAAGGTTTTAGATCATAATCTTTTGGACTAAATAAAGGAACGACTGCATCTATTTTTTCTTTAATTTATTCAGATCTTTTATTTATTTTTAGCAATTGTAAAAATAAAAAATAGATTTATGTGAAATTTTAAATAAAAAATAAAAAGGAAATATAAGAAATAAATTTTTTTATTACAAATTAATAAAAATGAAAATAATTTATTTATTATTTTTGTATTTTGAAGAATTTTAATTTAAAAAAAATTTTTTTTGATGAAAAATTGATTAAAAATGAAGGAGTTTTTTTCATTTAGAAAATTAATTTTGATTATAATCAAATAATTATTTTATTAAATTTACTGATAATAAAAAAGCTATGTCTGGAAAATTTTGTCCAAAACTTATTTTTTTGGTTGATATTCTGTATATTAAGGATACCAAATTCTATATCCAGTGGCAGCTCCCATATAAAAGCCAGCATTTAAGTTTAATACTTTATCTGGAGTATTTTGAATGGAAACAGTGTCTACATTAGCATTAATCTTAGCTATATCAAGGATTTAAACTAAATATGGATTTATCATAGACCCATCTGATCTCTAAAGTCTATTTTATTTACATAAGTAAATAATTTAGATTTTGAAAAAATTGAAATTAATTAGATAGAAAGAACTTACTTTACGCCCAAACCAATTAATGGAAAAGCTGATATTAAATGATGTTAGCTTTTGACTTCCTTAAAACCTTCAATAATATCTTCTTATAGAAATATATCTTTCATATTTTCAAGAGAAAAAAAGGATTTTTCATAATCACTTTCATAGCTAATAGAAGATTTCACTCTTAACAACTCTTCGATAAAAAAGTTTTTCATCTTTTGAAAAGCTTCAACATCAATTCCTTTCATAGCAAGAGCTCTTTAGTGAAATTTTCCAACTTCAGTTCCAATTTTAAATCTTTTCATTCACCTTTATCAAAAATTAATACTCTCAAATGATTTATATGAAATAAATATATTTTACAGATGGTGTCTTTTGTTAACAAATTTGAAAGTGATTTAATAAGGACAGCCATATTGTAACGCACACAGTTAGATTGTTAAGCAATAAGACGTTATCTCACACTCATATTCTCCACAGGCTTATTTAAGGGAATGTTTGTAATATTAATTTATCTAACAATCTCTTCCATTTACATAGTTAAAAAATCTATAGTCTTTTATATTTAATTTTGATCTATCTGTTCTAGACCATATTTAACAAGTAAATCGTTCACCCATGTAGAAAATATATTAATCATTTCATCTACATCCAAATTTCTTTCTTTAACTAAAAATTCGTTAGAATTGTATTAAAATTTGATTTAATCCCCATGATCTTCTTTCGAAATTACATAACTACCACAAATAACCTACCTAATCAATAAATTAATAAATTTTCTATTAAAAATAAAAATAAATTTACTTATTTAGAAAGTTATGACCAATAATATTAATAAACTTCGACTTAAACTTCTACAATTTCATGAAAATGTAAGCATGGAATAATATCTTCAATAGCTTTTGCAATAAATGAGTGTTTATTTTAATCGAACAACTCTAAATCTTTTCCACTGAAGTATTATTAGTAAGCGTAGCAAAGTTTATGGGTAAGCTATTATGTTGAATAGTTTTTTTAAATAGCTGAGGCAAAAAGAGAAAACTTTTTTAAATCATAGTCTCCAATATTTACATAGAAGAAGTTGCATCGAGAGTTTACTTTATCAAATTCGTTCTTTAAATCAGTAAAAGTTGCATACTAATAAGGACGCATGAATAAAATAATCGAAACATCTTTATTTCTTGATAATAAAATGATCTCATTTAATATCTATTCAAGAATAGTCGTTCTAAGGTAAGAAGACCAGTAGTCTTACATTTCTTTACTTCCATTTTTAATCTAAATTTCGATATGAGTCCCAAATTTTTATTGAAAAACATGAATATATTTCTTATAATAGTCAATAAGAGTCCTTTCAGTACAAGTAAGGTCTTAATCCAGATATAATTATTTTTTATCAATATCTTCATATAGATATTAACTTCCACAAATTCTATCCTAAAACTAATTATTACTTAAATATTTCTAAAAATCGTAACTGGAAACAAGCCAATTAAGTTTATTTTTTTAAATGTATTCTTGAACACTTTTTTGTGCATGATTGTAAATATTTGAGTCGTCTTCGCTAATAACTAATTTTAATAATCAAATCAATAAAAAAGCTTGAGTCTTAAATAAAATTTACAGAAAATGTGTTTTTCTCTATGACTTTATTATAATGGTACTTTATAATAATATTATTATTGTTTTCCTTAAGATATTTCTTCCATTTTAATTAATATTTGTTTTTATTTTAAATTAAATATTAAATTCTTATTAAAATAAATAAATAAAAGTACCTTAGAAAATAGTTAAAGTGTCTAAAAATTAATTACTAAAGTGTCTTAATAAAAACTAATTTTTTATAAATTTTAGTCAGTATCTTTTCTAAAATATTAGAAAATGCTTAATTAATGCAATTTTTTTGATTCTTTATTTCTAACTGATTCCTTATTTGTTCTAACACTTTTAAAATAGAAAATTTGCTAGAAAGCATAAATAAGTAATTGAAATAAATTAAAATGAAATTCACTTTCTCGAAAATAATTTTTTCTTGAATCTTAAAGAATATGGCACTCAAAACTATTAAGAACATACTATGAATTTTTTATGTTTAGAAAAATGAATGTATGTACAAATTTAATACAGAAATAAAAACGCTATCACAAAGCATTTAATTAATTTTAGGTTTTGTTTTAATTTTAATAAGTGTAAATTAATTAATTAATTTGATATATTTAGTTATTTTAAACAATATATTATTTGATCAGGAATTCAGTGATATACTCACTGCAGGTAATTATGTAGATAATTTAAGCTAATCTATGACATAATAATGTTAGGAAAAGTAGAAATATGCTATTGATAATCGAAAAAAATATATTTTATCATAATTTAGATAAATAAAGTTATTTTAATAATTTACTATTTAAAAAGCTTAATTAAAGGATTTAAAAACATTGAATCTAATTAAAATCAAATTAAAAGTAAAAACTATTTTGAAACATAATAAATATAACAGGTTTTTGCAGTAATAAAATATATTTCAATTGATTAAAAGGTTTTTTTATATTTTATTTGATAAATCGTTTAAATACTTTATTAATTAAAACCAATAAGTGAAATAAATAAATAAATAAATAAATAAATAAATAAATAAATAAATAAATAAATAAATAGATAAAAAGAATAAGTTAAAAAGCTTATTTTTAGCTTTCTTATTAAGTTAATAAATTAAAAAGCTTATTTTTAGGTTTCTTAATAAGTAAATAAATTAAAAATAATATTTTTAGCTTTATTAAAGCAAATACATGTAAAATAAAGTATGTAATTTCAAAAATAGATAATAAATATATTTATTATATAATTCAAAGTTCTTCAACAAAGTAATTTTCCTATTATATAAATGTCCAATATTTAATATTGTCTACCAAAGGAAATAAAGCTGATTTAGTTGCTGTAAAATTGTTACAACTTTCGCATCCGTTAAGTTCTGCATGATCTAAAGCTAAATTAATTAATTTCTGACCAGTTAAGCATGCTTTTGTTGGATCCCGCATTATTTCATAGTAAAAAACACAAAAATTATTGGTTAAGCTTAGCCTAATAGAATTAAGAGGGCATAATTTTTATTGAGCTATGTCGTAGCCTAAAGAGTAAGTTTCAAACGCATTATCAGAAGCATGCGTATTTCCAAAATCTTACTCAGCCAAAATTCTGTAGCAGTCACCTTTAATCTTCAAGTAATAAACTTTTGATTCAACAGTCTTTACAAAAATTTAAATAAATTTATTAGATTAAATAAAATATCCATATTATTATTAATTTAGGTTTACAAATTCAATTAAAATAAAAGATTTGTTTTCTTCATTGAAAATTAATAATTTAATTAATTAAGTAAAATAAATTAACAGACAGATATTTGGTATTTTCTAATTAAAATCAGTATATTCAATTAAAAAACTATTTTAGCATGTGTGGCTTCATAGCTAAAAATTAAAAATACCATTATTAAAATTCAAGCGAACTCACGAAAATATTAAACGTGTTGATTTAAATATTTCTAATCTTATGAGAAATTAATTATATTTAATATTTACTGCCTTATTATTCACTATCGCTATTGATCGATAAGATATATTTGGTGAAATTTTATGTTTTTAAAAATATATTTAATTATAAAAAATATTTGTGTTTGCTTATTCTATTTTCTTTATACAATGTTAAAGTAAAAATTATTTTTATAGATGTTAAATTTTAAATAAGGTTTCATTAATTTTATAGATTCTTTATTATTTTTTTTAATTGAAATGCTTGCAAATTTTATTAATTTTTTAGTTGTTGGTATAAAATAAAATGTTTTCGATTTAGATAAAATATAGTTAGTTACTAATATCTTGTTATTCAGAGAGTGGATTACAGCTTCTAAAATATCATCACACAGTTAAATTAATTCTCTTGCAATCTTTTACTTAAAAGCTTGTAAGCATTTTTGAAATTATTCATCTTCTTTATCTTTTTTGTCTTAAATATTTGAAATAAAGGTACATGCAGTTCTTCTTGGTTAAGTTGACTTTTTGATGGCAAAAGTAAACAATTTTCTTTCTTCATCTGAGAAATCTTAATTGAATTTAGAAGCTAATAACATGTAGGTAATCATCTCATTGTATTTTTCAGCTCTATCAGATAACTTAGCAAGCTGAATTAAATCTTGTCTAGTGAATTAATTAGTCATTTTATGATATTTTTTTCAGTTTTATATTTATTAAAAAATATATTTTTATGAAATAAATTAGCAAGCTATATTGAAATCAATTCTATTAATTTAGCGTCGACTATTTATTAATTTTATAATCAAAATCTAATTCTAAATTTTAATATCAATTAGACGACATATGTAAAATTATAACTTTTGAATCATCACCTAACTCTAATAATTAATCAAAATTTAAAATAATATTCAACATTTTTTTACATTTTTATAAAACAACCTTATTTTATTATAACTTCAAAGAAAATTAATCTAAAATTTTACGTAATTGAAAATAAAATTTAGTAATATTATATACACCCAATATGCTTCCTTACTTCATTATTTAGTAGGTGAGATATTTTTTGTTTAGTATTAAAATCAATATTTGTAGCTAGCTTTTAATGTTACATTTTTAATGTTTGAAATATTTAAAACAAACAATTTTTTTCTCTTCTTAGTAAAGAAGTTATTTTCTTTACTTAAAGCTAATTTATGATTGCTTAAGAGATAAATTTAATAGCTTTGTTAAAATAATAAATTAGATACTATTATAATATTTTCTAATTATAAATCTAGGTGAATAATAAATAAAATTACTGGCAGATTGGCTATTTTATTTGATAATTTAGTAATAAAGAATAAAATAATAAGCATGAGATTTATATATAATATGTATTAATTTAATGTAACAAAAATATTACCTCTAATTATGTGAAAAAATATTTATTTGATTAAAACAAAAATCAATCGAAAAAAAAGAAAAGTTTAATATAAATAATTTCTTTTTATGATACTAAATATATATATATTTGTTAGAGAGGATAGGATAATTAATATTGCTCTTAATTTATGAAATTTTTAATATATTTTATTTTGTTTTAAAAAGACTTGCAAATAAAATAAATATTTTGAATAATTATAAGATTTATCAGAATTAATCAAATATAAATACAATCAAGCATAATTAATCACAAACAAATGAATGCTTTAAACAGTTATTTTGATTTATTTTTTGCTATCAATAGTAATAAAATAATCAATCAATATTATTTATCAAAATTAGTTAATTAGTAGAGATTCTGAAAATGAACAAATCAAGATTTAAAAATATGTTATTTTACTAAAGCAAATAAGAGCCATATGTGGTTCTTTTTGCAATTGTAAGTTAGTTGTGTTCAAAAGTAATCCTCATGATTTTATTTATTTTTTTGAAGGTTTAATCGCTTTTTTACTATTTTAGGTTGTGAAATTTTTCATTGAATTATCAAATTTGTAATATGATTAATTGCAGTAATTTTAATGCTGCTTTTACTAAATATTATATAAAAATTAGGAAAAGATATAGTTTGATCCAACAAATTATTTTCTAATATTATAAACATTTAAAAATGTAAGATTTTTAGTTTCAAAGATTTAATTAGCAAATAAATAAATAGTGTTCAAATATTCTTGAGTATTATAATAAAAGTAGGTTGTTTGTTTTTTTGTTTGTTTGTTTGTTAAAAAATAACCCTTATTTTTATATAAATAGTAAAATATTAAATATGTTCAATTAGATATAATCAAATTTATTATTTTTGTTGAGATAAATCTTTTTTGTTTGATGCTAACTATAACTTTAGTACAAAAGTATTTCTTTTTTAAATACAAATTTTAAAATATTTTTCTCAAACAACAACACAAAAATAATAATTAATTATCATAGAAAAGTTATTCAGAATTTCAAAATACTTTACTTTAAGTATTTTATGAGAGTTTTCTTTGCAAAGAATGCTTGATTGAGTTAGATATTTAGATTAAACATTATAAAAAAAATAATTTTATTTTGATTATTTATTTATTTATTCTTTAGATGTAAGAAGGAATAGAAGATTGATTTTCATATTTATTTAATATATTTCGATTATAAAAATGTTGAATTTCATATCTCAATTTATCATGGTTAATAAAAATTTTACTTTTATGTGAGGATTGGATTGTATTTTTTATTAGTTAGCTAAAAATTAATTTTTTAAATTTAATGATCTTGTTTAAATTATTTTTTAAGTAGGATGATTAAGTAAAGATAATAAATATTTATAAAATTTTTAAATTAGTCTCATTTTTAAATTAAACTTATTTTTTAGTTATCAAAATAAAATGAATTTAAACTTTGAATGAATTTTTGTACAACTTATATTAACATAATTAAACAAAAATTGAATGAATTTTGATTTGAATGTTGGTTGTTAAATATTTTCAACCAATCACAAAAGTAAAATAAAGAAAATATTTTTAAATTCATGAATGCAAATAAAACTTAAATTATTAATCTTTTGATACATATTAAACTCTATTTGTCAATGTAGTGATATAAATAAATGGTTTAGTTGATATAAAAATATCAGAAAATAAATTATGTTAAAATTCTAAATAAATTTTTGCTTTATAGTTTAAATTAAAAACTGTGATGCAAATAAACAAACTCATTATTATATGTGAATTTTCAAATTCAAAATACTATTTAAATAAGAATATAAACAAACATTTTAAATAAACATGAAATGATATTAGAAATATATTTATGAAAATTTGTTTATTTAAAATAAAAATTTTAGATTTATTTTATTAAAAATGTTTTTTTTATCCACTTTAACATTTTATTTAATTTCTTTCATTAAAATTAATTTAAAAAAGCTAAAATAACTATCATTCTATGTTAAATATTGAAAAAAATATTTAAAGTAGAAATTTGAATGTAGGTAGGGTAATAAATTGGTTGCAAGCAAGCAAGAATTTATTTGATGTTTATTTTAATATATTATAACAAAATTTAAAAGCAAAAGAATTATATACAAATTAACATGAGCTAGAAGAATATAAATAAATTAATAAAAGATAGCAATCATTGAATCAAATCGCTCATATAATTTTTCATTGAATTATTCATTCGATTAAGGAAATAATTGAATTAATCAATCAATCCATCTATCTATGTATGTATGTATGTATGTATGTATGTATGTATGTATGTATGTATTTATCTATTTATATTTCTGCATGAAACCAATTTTTAAGAAGAAGAGTTGAAGCAAGCAAGACTAAAAGCAAGATGAAGTGAATGAATGTTTTATAATAAAATGAATGAAATTAGTTAGCAAAAATGCGATAGATGCAGATGAATAAAGAAATGAATGAATGAATAAAGCGAAAAGAGGAAGAAGGAAGATGAAAATGAATGAGAGAAGGAAAGATGAAAGAAATAAAGATGAAAATCAAAAAAAATAAATAGATAAAAAGAGAGGCCTTAAAGACTAAAAAAAATACGAAAATATATATTGTGTGAAGGGAAATCAAATAAAGGAGGTTAAAAAAAGATAATTAAAAGAAAAGCAAAAATAAAGAAAAGATAATTTGATTAGAAAAAAAATAAAATTTCAAAGAAATGTCTGTAGAAAAAGGATTTGCCACCCAACCCAAACTTTTCGGTAAGTGGAACTACGATGAAGTCAAGATCTAAGATCCTTGCTTCTAAAACTACATTGCTTGTACCACTACCAAGTCCCAAGTTTTCGTTCCCCACACTGCTGGCAGATATCAAGTCAAGAAGTTCAGAAAGACTCAATGCCCCATTGTTGAAAGATTAATTGGTACTCTTATGTTCCACGGTAGAAACGCTGGTAAGAAGGCTCTCTGCATCAAGGTCGTCAAGAACGCTTTTGAAATCATCCACTTGGTTACCGGAAGAAACCCCTTGGAAGTTTTCGTTGGTGCCGTCCAAAATGCTGGTCCCAGAGAAGACTCCACCAGAATCGGTACTGCTGGTGTCGTCAGAAAATAAGCTGTCGACGTTGCTCCCATGAGAAGAGTTAACCTTGCTATTTATTTCATCATTAAGGGTTGCAGAGAATCTGCTTTCAAATCAATGAGATCTATCGCTGAAACCTTAGCTGATGAAATCATCAATGCTGAAAAGAACAACACCCAATCTTCCTGGGCTATTAGAAAGAAAGACGAAATCGAAAAGGTCGCTAAGGGTAACAGATGAGCGAACTTTTAGCTTTTCAGAAAAAAAGCAAAAAATATATAAATTTTTGCATTCACCATCTCTCACAATTAGCAGTAGAAGCATATAATTTATTATACTTTTTAAATTGTAATCATATAAATATGTTATATTTTTGAAGTTGAATATAGCTTATGTTATTTAAATATGACTTTTAAGATATTAACCTTACTATCTCACTACAATCTTCACTTTCATCCAACTAACTAATCCATCTATCTAATCTCATTTTATTTAGCACATATTTTTTAGCATTTCAGGTAGCCAAAAAACCGAATATCGACTCAATCTATCTACTCAATTTATCAATCGAACTAATATTCTCTAAGCTCTTTCTTCCTTTGACTTTTTTAAGAAGCAAACAAACAAATAAATAAATAAAGCCTCTATATATAATAAAAGTTAAAATTAGGGATATTATTACCAAAATTAGCTAGCAAAATCATATATCTAGCCAGGCTAGTAAAGCATTCAAAAAAGCAATTAATCAAAAGGCCAATAGCTAGCATTTAAGCCATCAGTTTTAACAAAAACTACAAACTAACAGGGAGATTATCTACAATTTATATCAATTTACAAGTAAACAAACCTAGCTGTTTCTTTAGGTTATTATTTTAGCAAAAAATAAAGCTTACTCTAAGATACTATTTTGTTCAGCTTTGATTTTGTATTTAAAGAATCTTCATCTCCTGCAAACAACAAATAAAAAAGGAAGAAAGTAGCAAGCAAAAAAATTCACACACACACACATCATTCATATATCATTTACTTCGGTTCGGTTTTATTAGCTCAATTAGACTTAATATTTTTTGAATTAAATATCTTACTGATTTGTTAACCTATTTTGGTTTATTTTTAAGTAATAATAAGAATGGAATTAAAATTTTATTTGTTTTAGCTCATTGTTATTTAATTTTTCTGTCAATGAGCAGTAGAAATTATTTCTACTACACTAATTACTTATTAAATATTATCTTATTATATGCAAATTTCAAACAAAATAACATTAAATAAATATACTCTCTTAGTTTGTTTGCTCAAAGCAGATATTTAGATATAATAATAGATAGATATATATATATTTTTTAGTTAGAAAGAGAGATAGATCTATCTATCTGGATATCTATCTAGATATAATTTTTAATTCAGTTTTATTTGCATTAAAAAGATAGATTTACATTTAATTTTAATTTGATGGATATTTTTGATATTAATTTTCACTAAAATAAAGAGATCAATTAAACTTATTAATTACTTTAAACATTTGATTTTCATTTATTTTTAACTTATTTTCGTATCTAAAATTAGAATATTTAAATTTACTCTTAGATTTTTGCTACTCATTCAATTTTTAACTACTTAATTGATTTAATGAAACTCAATTTAAATTATACAATTAAAATAAGGTTTTTCTATTACTTTATCTAAAAAATATTCAAACTCATTTGTTCACTAAATAAATACTTATTTATTTATTTATTTATTTTTACAGTTTCTAAAAAATATTTTTTTAAATGAAAAGTTGCAAGTATTTATTTTTCATAATATTTTAAACCGATCATTCATTAATACTTAGATAAGATTTTTATAAATAAAATTATATTATTTATCGTGTTAAAGCAAACAAGAAAAATAAAACAATCAAATTTATAATCTTAAATACAATACAAATAAATCAGTATAATACAAGGCAAAATTGAAATATATGTCATTATTTTGCATAACAAAATTAACTTCAAATAATTGGGATAATTTATCAAAATAAATTAAATTTTTCTGTCTTTTGATATTTCTTTTTATGATTTGTTTTGAAGTTTTTTCTGAAAAGATGATTTTGAAATTAATTTAAATAACAAAAATCACTTTGGATTTAGTAATATCAAAGCTTTTCTTTTTAATAAAATAAATAAATAATTAATTAATTAATAAAATACAAATGAAAAATAATTTGATCATGTAAAAGAAAAAGAAGAATGCAAGTTAAATAAAATGTAGATATTATTGTAATTTCACAAATTCTCTCAAGTTTTTAAGCTCACAAAATTAATTCATCACCTTTGCCATCTAGCCACGGATTCAAAAGTTTTTAAAGCGATATTTAGAATCAATAAATTACAATAATTATTCATAAAAATTAATTATGCATAAAGAAATATCATCGACATGAGATTGATAGTTTTTCTGATATTTTTAAGCTAAATTATTTAATACAATCAAATAATTTCCATAAATTTTAAAATGCTTCCGTAAATTTTTTAAGGAAATAGTTTTTAAGCCCTAAATTATATACATCACCTTTGCAAATCATCACACCTCTCTTGGAAAAAAGCATTTTAAAAAAATAAAAGCTTAAAAATATAGATTTACTCTTTATTTCGTTTCGATATACTTCGAATTCTCTCTTAGTATTTAAAAAATTATAAAAAGAAAAAATAAATTTAAATCTAAAAAATTAATTAAAAATAAAAAAAAATAATAAAAGAAATTAAGAGCCAGACAGACAGAACAGAGATAAATAAATAAATAACAAACAAATAATAAATACAAAAACAAAAAATAATAAAAGAAATTATTAAAATCAAATCAAATAACATCAAAAAAAAAAAAAGAAACAAACAAACAAAAATTAGATACTTTACTTAACAAGGGTACGCCCTTCTATTTTTTTTATTTTTTCTAATTTTAAATTTAATATCTATTTTTTTATTTTTGTAAAAAGATTTAGCTAGAAAATCAAATATTTATTTATTTATATACTTACTTTATCTTATTTCATCTTAATGTTAAATAAAATCAACAATTTCTTTTTTAGAAGTAAATTTCTAGATTTATAGCTAAAATTTGTTTAAATAGCGAGAATATTTAACAAATTATAATTTTTTATCTATAATTTAGATATTTTTAATAGTATTTAACCATTTTAAATAAAATGGAAACTAAGACGCATTTACAGTTAAAGTAAATTAAATATATCCACAATAAAATTTTAACATGCTTAAACTTCATCATCGTGTATAAAATCACTTGGATAAATAAAAAAAATTAATATTTAGAGTTTTTATAAACAAAAAAATGTAATATTTTACATATAATTAGGCAGAATTCGCTCTACTATTTTGTTTAGTTTAAGTATAATAGATCGATTTATGATAATAACATTTTTAAATTATAACATTATTTACAATTTCTATTTGAAAATCTGCTTAAGAATAAAATCTAATAACATACACACTGTTATACCCTATAAAATAATAAGATAAATAAGCGATTAAGCCATTTCTACATACCATATTATATTATCATTATGCTATCATCTGCTTAGCAATTAATAATTTATTTATTTATTTTAATAAATTAATAAATAAATAGTAAAACATAATAGTTTAAATATCTATTTTATTTTATTTTTATTTTTTTTAAAGCTATTTATTGTGTGAAATAATATTAAATAATAATTCATTATTTACTTTCTTTGTTTTAATAATTTCAAAAAGAGAGAGTAGATCATATATATTGTATCTATTTTATTTAAATCAGTTTATTAGAAATAAAATTTTATAAAGTAATTTAACAGTTAATAGCAAACTAATCAATTTACTTGATCATTTTTATACCATTTAATCAAATAAAATCATTAATTATTAGTTGATTAATTTATTTATTTATTTCTTTTATCTCTACTTTATAAATTTTCATAATGAATGTTTTATAAATAATAAATAGATATATATTAATTTTAGAATAAGTAAATGAAGGGATTCTATTTATGTTTTTATCATAATTAATTTTTATAATAATTAATTAAATGTAATTTTTAAAATTATAATTGCTTACTTAATCATTTTATTTATAATTAAATTAATATAGAACAGTCAGTCAAAGTAATTAATTTCAAGATGAAATAGTTAGTTAGTTAGTTATATTTTTTAAGAAATATTTAAAAGAATTAAATTATTATTTTGTTTTCTCTTTATCAAAATTATAAAATTAATTAATCTATTTCATACATTATTATTTTATGATAAATAATATATACTTTTAATAATGATTTATTTTCTAAGTTTTAAAAGAAACTTTAATTCATTTATTTTTTTTTAGAGCATATACAAAATAAAATAAAATATTTAGTTACTAAGTCCCTTTCTTTTTATCTATCTGTATATAAATGATTTAGATTTTATTTGTATTTATTTAAGAATAATCCTAATTAAGTTTTTTATTGTATTTCGTATTTTAAAAATCTTAGATTTTTTGATAATCTTTGATTTTAATTTTTTTCTTTATTTCCTTAATTTGATTAATTGAAAAAGATATGAAAGATTTTAAAATATCTAACGTCAATTAATAAGGATTTAGTATTAATTTGAATAAAAAAGAAAAAAATACATAATAATTAATTAATTAAATGATATAGTTAGATATCCTAACGATAAAATAAATAATAGACATAGCAAACAAAATAAGTTTTTTAAGCCCGGAATGAACTGTGCCATTCACTTAAGTTTTTTACATAAAATAAGCGCTTAGTCTATTATATTATTGAATTGTTTTAAAAACAAACAAATGGAATATCAAAACAAACAGAGAAACATATAGATACAAATTCTTTTTTGATAATAAAAATAATATATTAAATAAAATAAAAGTAGATTGATTTTTGGAGATATTTAGAGCTAAATGAATAGTCAGGAAAAGGAATATTTTTGATGAGCGTACTTATTGAAACCTAATTAATATAAAATAAAATAAAATCATATTAAAAAAAGCTAACAAATTAAAATAAATAAATAAAATACAAAAAATATAAAAACCAATCTATCTATGTAAAAACAAACAAAAAAACATTAAAATATTAAAAAACTAATAAAATAAAACAATTAACTAACATAATATAAATAAATAAATAAATGAATGAATTAATTAAAAATAAAATAGTTTAAACTTAACAATTAAATATAAAAAATCCTGCATTTAAATAATATAAAAAAGTTAGCCATTTTAAACATTAAGATCTATTTAATTACATTAAATTTTTGTTTTTTAATAGCAAGTTAGTAAATAGCAATTATTAAATTCGCTTTAAATTCTGAAAGAAAAACAAAGAAAGCATTTAATTAACTTTTCACTAAATTTAATAAACAAATAAGATAAGGATATTAATTTATACATCAAAGCTGATTTTATTTACATTATCAATAGATAGATAAATAAATAAATAAATGAATTTTTAATAATTTTTATAAAGAATCTTCTTATTTTATTTAATATAAATGATAAATTTTCTTTCTTTTCCTATTTATTTTCCATTTTTATGGAATTGATAAATAAATAGATAGATAATAAAATGTTAATTGTTTTATAAATAAATAAATAGAATTAATTTATTATTATTTATTTTGATTTAGATAAGATAATATCTCATTTTATACAAAATAAAATACCATTAAGAACTAACTTTTATTTGTCTTCAAATTAATTATTTTTGGTTAAAACTAACATTAATACAAACAAATAATTATCTATAAAATTTAATAAATTCTTAATTTTTTTCTTAAATTATGAAGGTAAATCTTTTTTAATGAATTAATTGTATTTTTTTATTGAAATTTTTGCTGATATTTGTTTGTTAAGATATTTAAAATTGCATTTTTTATAAAAAATATTAGATAATTAATTTATTCCTTTTTGAATTTATTATTCTAAATAAATTGTGTTTAGTAAATTTATTTTATCTAATTTAATTTTACTTCAAAAATAATATATATTTTATAATTGCTTTTTTATTTATTATTTTTTTAGTATATTTGCTTTCATTTTTTATTGAAAAAACAAATATTATTCGAAAAATAAATTAATTATTTATTAATAATATTTATTTATTAAAAATTTTTATTATATAAAATTTTTCAAAATTTATTTTTTTTCAAAAAAAAAATTATATGTTTTTAGAATATAAGGTATATATTATTTCAAATTTTACATTTTGTGAATTTAAAGCTTTCTAAAAACTCAAAAATAAAGCTGTTTAAAGCTAATTCAGCTTTATTTATTATGTTATTAAGATATATTAAATTTTGCCTTTTGTAAATAGGCATTTCACTCTAGTTAATAAGAAGGATAAAATGAAGAAAAATTATGAAATAATAAGATTAATTAATAATTAATAAAATTAGCAAAGAATGAAAAAAAAAAGAAATCACATTAAAAAGAAAAAAAAAATTAATCAAATAAATTAAAATAGCTTTAATGTTTTAAATTAACTTTTATAATTAAAAATATTACAATCCAAAACTAATAAACTACTTTTATTAAGTGTAAGTTTTAATAGCAAAAATGAAGAAAAAATATCAAATAATAAAAAATGAATAATAAATAATTAAAAATTTAATTGAAAATTAAGTTAAAATAGCTAAAAAATTTTTGCTTTAATAAAAATCAATGAATAATGATGATAATTTCAATAAAAAAAATTACTTATTTAAATAAATTGAAAGTTAAATATATAAAAAGTATTAATGAGAATAAAAATAATATTTATAAATTAAATATACTTTAGATCAATTTGGAGAACCTAATGAGATAAAAATGAAGAGCTTAAAAACTTTTTTTATTAATTTATATAAATTAATTTAAAGGATGCTAATAAAAAAATTAATAATTACTTCTTCTAATCTCTTGTAATATTTAATCTATTATATCATTTATTTTTTTTCAAAAATATTGAATAGCAAGCAATTTATGGAATTTAATTAATTAATTATAAATTGATTAAAGGAACAAAAAAAATATAATAATTAATTACCAAATATTAATTTATGAATTTGGTTTTATGAAGAGATATCACATAAAAATTAATTTAACATTCATTATTTAATCTTAATATTTGTATTTAAAGTATATACTTCGAGTAGAAATTAGAGATGGCCAGTTAGTCATATTTGAAAAAATTTTAGTAATTAATTTAAGTTTTATTGTATAATATTTTGAAAAAGTTATTTTAACCTAAAAGATAGATAATTTTTTAGAGTATCGATATATACTAAATTTAATAATATCAGATAAAAAACAAATAAATAGATTTTAAATAAAAAAATAAAGTAATTAATTATAAACAATA